TTAAATTTTTTGATATTCTCTCTTTTAAGGTTTTGGTTGAGAAAGATTTTCTTTTACTCACAAAAATGTATTTTTAGATTAATTTAAATATTTATTAATCTTGAAACCACCACTTTCACTCAAATTTGTGACAATGTTCCAAATCCATACAAATATGCATAGAGTGCAAAATTCAAAATAAAAGTTTCATCCCAACTTCAAATCACTCTATTGTCAGATTCTCCTCATTTCTGACAATCTAGATATATAATTACGGAGAACAAAAAAAAAGAGTTTATATACAAAAGCAAAAAAAAAAAACTCATGTTCTCCTAGAATAGCCTTCTCTACAAAATCAAGATGTCAGTCAAAAAAAAAAACACCGACATATCCACACATTGCCTAAATTGTCACAAAATAAACCCATCAAGCGTTTAAATATTTTTCTTAATCTTAAATACATTTATTGTGAGTACTAGAAAAAGGTTTTTGGCTCGAGAAAGATTAAAGAGTTTATATCTAACTTTTAACATCTTATTAAACTTTTACTTTCCATGGTTTAGTTTCTTTTCTAATTATGCATCAATACAAAGAAATTGCTCGAGGACAAGCAATACTCAAGTGTGGGGGAATTTGATAAGCACAATAATTACTTATGTTTTACATAAGTGATTATAATTATCTGTACAAAAATTAAAGCAAAAACAGGTAAATATTCCCGAATGAGCGGAAACATGCAATGCACCTTGGAACAGCAAAAATAGGGTCAAAAGCAAAAAGGGGTCGAAAACCGGCACTTCTGGATAAATTTCGGGCATCAAAAGAGAAAAAGAAGCTAAGTACACATTTGGGCGCAAAAATCGGCGCCGGTCATCCTACATCCGGCGCCGGTCGTTTGATGTTTTCTCCAAAAATCGCCTGTTTCCAACCGGCGCGGAGCGACCGGTGCATTTTTTTCACACGACTGGCGCCGGACACCTTACAACCAGCGCCGGATGGGGCGATTTCTGCACAAAACAGACCAACGTGCAAGAGGATTTTTGATGGGAAAAGGTCATCTTCCTCATTTCTTGATCAAATATTGCTCCACACCTGCTTGTTGGGCTTGAATAGACTAAAAGATGCCATTCTTTAGCCTATATAAAGCCCTCAATTCATCATACAAACACATTCCATTCCATAGATTAATTCTTAGCTTATATATTTTTGTTCTTGGTATTTTCTTCAAGTTCTTAAGGAGGGAAGTTCATCCTCCGAAATCATTGGTGTTTAGGTATTATTTCCTTTGTAATTTCATGTTCCATTACATTTATTATTGTATTGTGATTAATATGAGCATTAGAGGCTAATTCCTTAGCTAAGGCTAGGGATGAACTTCTATGCCCACTAGGTGTTTGATAAAAGTTCTAAACCAATAAATTGTGATTTATCCTTTATATATTGATTGTTTATGACTATGGTGTACAACATAGAAGTATGTTAAATTTAGTTTATACTTGCAATTAACGTTGAAGTCTAAACTATGAACATTAAAGGATAAACATATATAGTACCGAGAATAGAAATATATCCGGTCTTATATGATACGGGTGTGATGTCTTGATATTCAACGGGGTTTTCGGTAGATGAATATAACCGGTAACGGGACTTACACGTAACGAAAACCACGCTCTCGCTGCCTTAACCGGAGTTGAGAATATATTAGCGACATCGTATTCATAATTATTGGCAAAGAACTAATATTCAACCCTATTTAAGCATTTAAGTGATTCCCGAAGCCTTAGTTGTTGTTATCATTTATCTTGAACTCAAAGTTAGTTAACAATTATCTTGTTGAACAAAAAGTGAAAAAACCAAAAATATAAAACACAAATCAAAATCCCTGCACTTTATTCAATTCTTCATTTAAAGTTATCTACTCTCGGACTTGAATTAAACAACGTTTCCTTGTGGATTCGACCCGGTATTTTACCGGAATTTATTACTATATCGGCACTTGTACACTTGCAAGTTTAGCCCGATCAGGGGCCAAAATTTAATTAAATAACGTATATTATAAAAAAATGTCAAAATGTAGTACAGTATAATAATATCGTAGAAGTCAAAATGTAAATTATAGAAATGTCAAAGAATAAATTGAATATTACAGAACCGACAATACAATTATCTTAAAAGTCATAGATATCGAATCAAAGTTTTATCGGTTACCCAAATGTTTAGTGCCAATTTTTAGGTTAGTTTGTCGGAAACAAGATAAACCGATTTTTTTACTCTAAAATCTATACTCTATGTAAAGAAAACTTATTTTCACCTAAGAAATCCAATGTATTCAACTAATTAATTTTCGGTCAATATTCAAAAGCCCAATGAATTAAACTAATTAATTTTTAGGACAATATTCAAAAAGCTCAATCAATTAAACTAATTGGTTTTTCAGACTAATAAAGCCCAATTAGTTGGACTACTTAATTTTTGCATCCTAGTATTCAAAAGTTAAAATTCAGACTTGATTTGTGTAAGATAACATGTTCCTGGACTTGGATGGAAAATACAAAAAAAATGCTGCTCCAACTAAGAATCGAACACATAACCTCTACACTACCAATCACACCTCTACCATCACACCAACGTAACTTTTGTTTACATTAGGACGTTTGTTCTAATTATACCATTTCTTCCCAGTACATATATAATATATATATACACTAGTAATTTTTTTTTTGAGATGGGGCCTAGGCCCTCCCTGGCCCTATGCCAGATCCGCCCCTGGAGGCAAGTGCTATACTTAGAAAGTAAATTTCTGGAAATTAATACAGCAGGCTTTTTAGTGATATTGATGCACGTCCCTTGGGTGAAAATGGTCAAGAAAGCGAGTAATTAAGCAGTAGGATAAGCAGTAGGATCAATTAAGACTACTGCTTAGGATGCTGCTGCCAAACTACAATCTATGTGAGAAGTGTTGGGTGTGTGCTTTGTTGACTGAAAGTAAATCAACACACAGTGTATCCTGGTTCAGAGGTGGTGTAATCCTCCTACGTCCAGTCCCACCCTCTTTCAGATGGATTTTCACTAAAGTATTAAGCCCAATACACTTAGTGACAATCTAGCCTTTACAACTCTTAGGCCTAGATTGAAGGTGTTTCACAATGAGTACAACATCACTCAAAGTTACTCAATCCTTTAGACTTTTCTCAATTGATTCAGTGGGGATCAAAGGGTACTCTATCTATCTAACCACACTATAGGATCCGAACAACTGTTCTCCTAAGTGTTTACAACAATTTATGAAATATTACAAGAAAGTTCTAACCTCCAACTAGGAACTAAACTTCTAGGATTTAGCAATTAACACTTGTGAGTAAGAAGTTTAGTGAAACATGAGTCTAAGCAAAGAGTAGAGTATAGAATTGTACTTTCTCTTTTGCTAGATATCTCGTGAATGCTCAGTGAAGTATTTCTCTACTTAGGATGCTCAAGCTTCGGTTAGAAACTTTCGTTTCACCCTATATTTATAGGCCTCTCATGTGGATTAATCTCATCCGTTGGTTAGGATGATTTAATCTCTATCGTTGAAAAATTGGCGAGGACGAGTTGTACACTTGTCTTCTTGTGTTGGAGCATTTATGGAGATGATTTCTTTGTCTTTGAATATCTTTAGCCGCCGAAAGAATCTCCTCAGAAATAATTCTGGTGTGTGTAACATGCTTTGGTCCCAATACTTGATTCGATATTAAATACCGGTCAAGTTTTGTCTTTAATCATTTACATTCAATGTATTTGATTTTTCGAGCTTCTTTTCTTTAAAATGTGACACACAATTAATCTTTGAGCCAAAATAATATATGCCAGTAGGATCAAAATATCCTATTAAGGTAACTAAAAATTACCTTATTGCATTTTAACTTTTCCAGTAATATTTAATTAGACTCAAAGATTGTACATTTTATTTTGTCACATAATTTTGAATGCTAACACACGAATAATACTGAGACACAATGTACATGTGCTAAGTATAGTGGCATCATCAAAATCTATCAAAATTGGGTACTAACACAATGTTTCTGTAAATAAGGAATGATATTATTCCATATTATTTTAATCCATTAATGTTACTTCTTGTATAGCATGAAGGATTCAAAGCCTTCTGTGAGAAAGTGTAGATTTCAAGCACAACAAGTTGGGTCCCCAAAATCTTATACATGCCATGGAGACATAACGGCAATCACGTTGACTGTGGAGTATATACTTTGCGCCACTTGGAGACGTTTCGTGGGCAAGGACATGTATGGGATTCTGGATTTGCAACTGCTGCTACAAATGATGGAATAAAAGCTCAACATGAAACCATCCAAAAGATGAGATTGATGTATGCAGCTCAAGTTTTACTGTCAAAATTTAACAAAGAAAGGGAAAATCTTTTGAAAAAAGAAAAAGACTACCTGAAGATGTAATTCATTAATATGATGGGGTTAGAGTCAAAACATTTCATGGTTTTATGGAGGGGGTAGTGGTATGGGTTAACTTTAGACATTTTTGGTTTTGTGCAGCAACTTGTAATGCACTGCAAAAGTTATCTGTTTAGTATGTGGACAACTTACATGTTGGTTTATGACAATTTGATGTAAACTCGTTTGTTTTATATGTCTTATGTCGAATCCAACGGCTGAGATTCATTCTCACTTCTCACCTAAAGGGTTCTTCTCACTTTATATAACTTATGTACCCTAGCATTAGGTAATCAAGCAATACACATCTGATGTAAACAATGACTACAACAAATGTAATTCACGTTAAAGAACTATGTATCTGAAGGGAAAAACAATGTAACTATTGTTACTGAGCTGTGACTGACAGATTACATTCTGTAATGTAACTAAGAGTAAACAAACTTGATTGCGTATTGTATTTATGGCAATGCTGTATGACATGTAAACGAACTGTAAAGACAATATAAATTCTATAAAATCAAATGTAACTCAAGTTGCAACAAAAGTAATAGTCCACAATATGATATGTAAACTCCTCAAAGCATTTGTTTTTTCAAACATGTGTGACTATAACTAATTCTGCTCTTGGTTCAAAGCATTGGATTGCATGAAGTATGGAGCAAAAACTTATGGAGATCCAGGCACATGCATTAAATACGTCATTCCTCCAACTGGATGAGCAAGTACATAACCTTGTGGAACCATGAAATTAACAGTGCCCTACAATCAAACAAAATAAAAAGTAATGATAAGAAAATATGCATTAAATACATAAAAAAATAAACAAATACCCGTACAACAGATTGAGCAACTGCTTTTGAATTGGAGGCAACATTTTGGGATTTGGAACGACGAGCTTTGACTATTTTGCACTGTTTCTCAACAATACTTCTCTTTCGGGTATTTCGTTGACCTTTAGAACGAGACCGTGGAGGATCCAATATTGTCCTTGAAGCAGATTCATCCACAACAGAAGCATCTCTTTGTGTATCTAAAAAATGTTTAATAGACTCGTATCCTTGCTCACATACTCGTCTAGCTTCAGGAAAACCAACACTTGCACTCAATACTGTGTTGAATTTCCTAGTCATTTGCACTCTCCAAACAGAATCTTCCAATATTTTGCCAAACATAATATCGGTTCCGTGCGTAAGAGAAAGATTAACATTTGGCAGAATGGCAACCTTTGTCCATCTAGAGAGTATATAAACTTGGGGAATACATTTGACACGATGAACATTATATATACGCAAAATGTGTCTACAAAAAATGCCAACTTCAGAAAACATCTTACAAATGCATGTCAATGTGTTGTCATGTTGAATAAAAGTAACACTGTGTCTAATCATATCTACCCCATTCAACCAAACATGATACACATAGTCATGACAATTCTGTGAGATTAATTTAAAAAATGTGACATACCCTTCAAATATTGTTCTTGGAACACTTTGAAACTCTCAAGGGTATACACATCTCTCGCATGAGTCAACAAACTGTCTTGTAGCAATACCATCTCAACGATGTCTTCAGAACATCTAAAATCATGACCATTCTCCTCTAACCTCCATTCATCAACAACATCACAAAACATTTTGTAAAAATCACATAATGTTGCAGTCTTTGTAAGTCTTCTAGATATAGATCTATTTGTAGATTCACTTCTTTGCGAGGATAGAACACCACCAGAGAAGTAATCCTTCGAAAAAGCAGGACACCACTTTTCTTTATGACTGTACAACCTCTTCAACCATGTGTTGTCACTGCATTCATAAACTCTATTCAATCTGAAACAAATTTAAAAAGAAGACAAGATTACATATGAAGATATATATGTTACACCAAATGATTGAAAAAGTTACATAAAATAATCAGAAAGTTACATCAGATAATAACAACTTACTCATTCCAATAGAAATCAAATTCTGCAACAGTATCACATCGTTTGACAACATAATCAAAAAGAGAAACAAAATTTATCTTCTTGCGTATATGCATGATGTGTTTCTTTGAATTCTCATCTATATGCCAAGTGCGGAGTCTATGTCTCGCCCCAGGAAATACAGATTTGATAGCCACTGCCATGGAAAATGACTGGTCTGTCATGAAACTGATGGGGTGTTTACCAACCATAGATTTCAGAAAAGCCTGAAATAACCAAACAAAAGACTCCACCTTTTCATTTAGAATAAAGCCACAACCAAACATTATATTTTTACAGCGGTGATTCATACCAATAAATGGACCACAGATCATATCATACTTGTTAGTCCTGTGAGTTGTATCATGCACAACAAGATCTACAAACCTCTCATAATCAGATCTCATTTGACCATCTCTCCAGAAAAAACAAGTCAGTACACCATCAACCAACTCAAAATCAAAGAAAAAATCACATTCCACTTCAGCTCTTTTCTTCAATATACCAATCAAAGTGTTCAAATCAGTACCATCAAACGTTTTACTTCTTTCAGATTCTAGAACGTTATAAGCATCACGTTTCGTGAATCCAAGAGCACTAAAACCAACAGCCTGTTTTTGAAGCATCCTCTGAACATCTGAAACCTTTGTTTCACTCTCCTTCATCAACATAATAAATTCAAGATACTCACGATCAACGCCTCTACGTGATTTCAGCAGGTGTCTTTGACCAATTGCACAGAAAACATGGTTGTGATCAATAATATGCTTTGAGACAGTCCATTCACCATCACTACTAATAGAAAACTGTAACTTCGCTTTACAACCAGTGCGATAATCTAACTTGGTATACATTTTGTTTTCAGTACCCTTTTGTAGTTTCTTCCTTTCTTTCCAACAACAATAAGACTTCATAGTCAAACTTACATTCCCATTCCTAAACCTCTATCTGTATCTACGAATACCAAATCCATTTTCAAAAGCATGATCATTGTAAAGTTTATAAGCATCCTGTTCACACTTGACACTAAGCCCAACAAGTGATTTACTCTCAGTTGACTGGTGAACATTTTCCAATGAATCTGCCAATTTATAAAGCATATATATGAAAAACAATCAACAACTACATACTGTCACTATGTTACATTAAATTAAACAAAAGTTACATATCCGAGAACACAAGTTACACACAATTGAGATGCGAGTTAAATACCATCGAACGGAATTACAACCAAAATGAAATGAAGTTACATGACAGAATAAATACCTCTGCTAAGAAGGTATAACAATTTAGAAGCTTTTGAAATAGTATCTTCTTCTCCTGAACATAAAATCAAAAACTATGAATACTCATACAATCGAAATTCTCAAGCAATGATATAAAACAGAGAACAAAAGATATTAGACAACATGAAAAATTTATAAAACATAAACCAACTGATCAATTCATAAAACATGAAAAATTTATACTTACCGATCAATTCAACATCAACCAGCTGATCAACTTCGAAATCATTATCATCAATTGAATGATTAATGTTATCGTGTGTATCAGAAGCAAAAGTATCTCGCGATCCAATCAAAGAATCAAAAAGAGCAGAACCGTCGACAGAAAAATTCATCTAAGAACCTTAGAAAGGAATCGAAGGGATGACAAACCAAGGAGAGAAATAAGTTATCGATGAGCTGCAAAAATTTAAAGTCGGTTAATGAAAAGAGCGAATCTAATTTTTTAATAAGCATGCGGGATCTTATACGGGTCATATGTATTATTTGCCTATTAATAGATACGAAGTACTTAGTATTTGGGTGTGAGGAAGTATATTTTTCCCTTGGAACCCTAGAACCTCTGCCTGCTCTCCCGTACCTCCTTCGAGAATGGTGAAGTTTTTGGACGAGGAAACGACGAAGAAAGTTATTCGTCAGGTGATCTATCTCTCTATTTTACATTTTTCTGCAGTTATTGCTGCGAGTATATCTTTTTATTTTTAAATGTTTTTTATTTTCTAATCGGAGATTGTTATTTCCAGGTCGAGTTTTATTTCAGTGATAGCAACCTTCCTAGGGATTCTTTTCTCAAGAAAACAGTTGATGAAAGTGAAGATAGGTGTATCCTTTCCTATAAGTAATTTCCAACGCCGATAAATTTTCCATTTTAAATTGTGTATTCTTATGCTTGTATTGCCGATAGTATTAATTGTCTGACATGTTTTTCGGTATGAATGCGATTAGCTTTTGGAGTTTAATCTCATGGCTAATGTATGCTTAATGCTTGTTGAGCTTAACTGTAAATTTAGTGGTCAGTTTGTCTCTGATATGTTCATTCTCGAGGATGAGATCCCATTTGGGTTTACAAGAAGCAAAACCAGATGATATAACAGATGATACTGTCAAAGCTGTGGCCGATGCATTAAAAAGCTCTACTTTCCTTAAGATTTCAGACGATGGTAAACATATTCATGAATCAATTTGTTTTATGCTTTTTTCTGGTGGAATTAGTTTGATTAGTGGCTGATGATTTAAATGCTTCTAGGAAAGAAAATTGGTCGAGCTACAGAATTGCCCAAGCCCGAGGAGGTTATAGAACAAATAGATGGGAGGACTATTGCTGCATCACCACTGGAGTATTCTATCAAGCTTGAAGATGTAGAGTCATTCTTTGGACAATATGCAAAGGTATCATTGCATCATATTTATGGACTTGAACTATGTGATAGTGCTAGAGATGCATGCACTTCTAAGAAACATGGAAACATGAATGGAAACGCGTGAAACATAGTTTCTAGAAAATACAGGATACGAAACGTGGGTGGAAACGCGTAAATATTAAAAAAATATAAGGATATATCTATAAATACTTTTTTCACTTTTTCATATATGTACATAATTTTTCCATGTAATTTTTTAATGACCCAATAATAAAAAACATTCCCCATGTTCAGATTTTGAAATCACATCATATTAGTACATAATTAGACATTAAATGCAATACATTTCTAGCAATTCATTGCATTACGAAATGCCACAGACTCACATTGTTGCTGCAAAAAATTACCACAAAAATTCAATATTTTTTAAAAGACACTATTTTCAATCACAAAACCTCTTGAGAAAGAGGAAAATTGGAAATCCAAGGTTTCCAAACATGCTAACTATTTAGGGAAACAGGTTTTCCAGTTCTTCTTAATTACGGAAACGGCCCCGAAACGGGAATTTGAAGTTCCGAAGTTCCGAAACGCTTCCTAGATTCCGAAATGGGGAAACAAGAGCTGCGGAGAGTTTCCGTGCTTCATAGATGCACTTATCATAATATGCTACTGCAGTACTGCACTTGAACTGTATGACCATGAGAGGCAAATGTGAAACATTTCTTTTGATTGTTAGGTTAACAGTGTACGGCTACCTCGTCATGTTGCCGACAAAAGACTATTTTGTGGCACTGCCCTGGTTGAATTTTCAAGTGAGGAAGATGTTCAAAGCATTCTAAAGCAAAGCTTGCTTTATGCAGGATTGGTGTTAGAACTAAAACCAAAGTAAGTTTTTGTCATCATTGTTTTTTCAGAAGTGGGGTTTACATCTAGTACAATATTTGGTGTTCACAAGTATTAATGTTGTCCAAAGTTGCAATTTTTGTAATTTATACCTGAAAGAATCATCCATATTCAATGTTTATGCTGTAGTCTAGTTCATCATATAATAAACAATACTACCTCTGACCCAAAAAGTTTCGCCATATTGACTTTTCTTGGTCAATGATGACAAACTTTGGACAATGATTTTAATTATTATATTTATAGATAATTTATAAATTTTATACTTGTATGAAAATATTTTGAACAAAGAACATTTTGATATAATTTTTATATTCAAAATAATTTCGTATTAAAAACTATAATTGGTCAAAGTTGATTGTCATTGACAAAAAAAGTCAATTTGGCAAACCTTTTCGGGATGGAGCAAGTATGTTCTTTAAACTACAATTACCTAATTCTTTGAGTTGAGACGACCTTCTCTAAGTGGAGGTGGTCTTAAGATGTATGTTGGTTCCATTTCTATGGTTTTCTATCCAGTGGCTGACACAAAGGGGGCAAGTGCCCCCCCCCAATGTATTAAGTAGGTATAATTATTCCAAAATTTTAATATATATATATACACACATATATGTATTAGCATGTATTATTTTATACTACATCCCTTCCAGCCGGGAATTCCTGTGTCTGTCACTGTTTGTATCATTTCCCACCTCTAGTATTTCTTTTAATATTATGACAGATTAGTTTAGGGTGTTTCAGCAAGAGTAAAGGTTTTTTATGTTTCATATCATGAACATATGATGTGTGACCGTGAGATCATGGGTTCAAGCTTTGGGAGCGACCTCTTGTCAAAATAACAAGGCATGGTTTGCTCCTTTGTCCTTATACCTGTGGTGGGACCCTTTCTATATCATGAATAAATGCGATATTTTCTTTTTGGTAATCATTTGTGGTGAATGTGTTTTATATGCTATTTCTTTTTACAGGAAAGACTTTGTTGCAGAAAGAGCTGAGCAGGAAAAAGTAGCAGAGAATAATACTGTTCACAAAAGTTCATCTCATAAAAGTCAACCCAATGTTGAAGACAAGTAAGTCGAGTTACAGTGAAACAGACTTTTTTTTATTGGTGATCAAATAATTTCATCATCTTGAGCAAATGTTAGCCGACCCCAAATTCTTTTGGGATTAAGGCTTGGATGTTGTTGTTGAATATTGCAGCTACCCTAAGGGCTTGATTGTTTCTTTTAAACTGAAGAAGAACAAAGAAAAAGGTACTGCAGAAGTAAATGGTTACCACATGCCAGGTACTGACAATGTTGAGGTACAAACCACCACTAAAGATAGCAAGAAATTAATTGCTGAAGATGATTCAAATGATGAAGAAAATAATGAGAATACCCTTGAAGAAGTTGACACCACACCATCCAATGGCAATGTTAATGTGCCTGCTGCTGCAGAGACACAGATTACAAAAGAAGATGAAAAGGAAGTGAATCAAGAAAAAGAGTCAAAAGATGAAGAAAAGTGTGATAATAACAAAGATAATGTTGATATACAAGCTGCTCTAGATGTACAAACTACAATAGAAGAAAACAATGACATTACTGTAGATAAAGAGACGAAAGATGAAGAAGAAAAGAATGCGAGAGCTAAGGAGGGTGATGACAGAGTAGGAAGTGATGGACAGAATCCAGTGGAAATGGATGGCGAAAAAACAAAAGAACGACTATCTTTACCTTGCAAGGATGATAAGGATGTTGTTTTACGTGATGATCTAAAAAGCTTGTTTGGGAAGTTTGGTGTTGTGAAGGTAAATTGCTTTACATTTTTGGTCATTAATTTGTCTCTGCATAATTTATTTTGGTAGCTTAGTATAAATGTTTTATTGATAACAATCAATGTTTCTTATTGTTTATTTATTTCTGTAGTTTGTAGATTTTGAGACGGGGTCAGATTCAGGATATATAAGGTTTGAGAAGGCTGAGACAGCTCAAAAGGCAAGAGCTGCTGCTGTGCTTGCTGTGGAAGGTGGCCTGGTAGTGAAAAATTGTATTCTTACCTTAGATCCTGTGACTGGTATGCTTTATACATGTTTTTATCTTTTTTGTAGTTAGTAATTTTCTATTTGAGATCTCCCATGCATTTGGTTCGTAGTTGCTTCTTTTCTGATAGAATACTTTGTTTTTGTTGTTAAAAAAACAGGTGATGCTGAAAAGGAATACTGGAACCAGTTTTGTGGTGGTCAGGAGAGACGAGGAGGCAATTATAAGGGCTATAAAGGAAGGTAAGGATATACATGTTTTTAGAGAGAATTCCCTAAATAGGAGTAAAAAAGTTTTGAAATTCCAAAATAGGAGTATCATGTTTTTTATTCCTTGAATAGGAGTAAATTTCTGCCAAGTTTGGCATTACTAGGCTTTAAAACATGGCATTTTTTCCCAAACTTGGCAGATTACTCCTATTCAGGGAATAAAAAACATAATACCCTTATTTTGGAATTTCAAACCGTTTTTGCTCCTATTTAGAGCAATTTCTAATGTTTTTAATGTTTTATTAGTTGTGAAGGTAGTACATTTGTTTTAATCTATCTGGATGAGCTAGTAAAAGTAAAACGGAACCTACATATACAAATAGACATACATATGTACATTTTTGCCAAAAAATGAATTCAACGATCCATTATTTGCTCATTAGTATTATTTATTAGATTCAACCGTTAGAACTTACATTCAATTGTTAAGATTAATTCATCAAGAAATGGAGTCAGCTCGATAAAGTTTATCATTTTATTATCTAACAGTTGAAACTAGTGGTTGATAATAATGAGCAAAAAATTGATCATTATTATGAATGTGTGCGTATACACACACAAACACACACAAAATAAGATGTCTTTCTTATGTGAGAAAACGAAGATCTAAAGGTTCATAAAATTTAGGATAAAGCATACAAAAGAATGTGACATAATTGTGATTAACTGCAACTTCGTTAACCAAGATACATCCATGCATCATAATTCATAATTCAATGATTGCATTTGCCTTTAACTGGGAAGATTACTTTTTACCTAAATTAGGCCATCTCTGTGTGTCTGTGTGTCCGTCTTTTCAGCAGTTTAAAGTTTTGGGTCAGTACTTTAACTAAACTATTGAAGGGTTAAAATTAACTCATCATTAATTGTTAAATTGCCAATGAGCAAAGAAATCAGAGCCGTTGAATGATTTTTTTGGCAAAAATGAGCTTGCAGGAATTCTGTGTTTTTTTGGGCATGGGGGTTACCACCGTTTGAATTCACATGATTGTATTGTGTTAGCCATAAGACTAGGGTAGGAAACAAAATATTTTTGACCTGACAGTAATCTTTGAGGTTGACCTTTATGAGAAATAAACACACATACTTGCATGTATGTATGTATAAAGGCACATTTTTTGTAAAAAGTAACAATTAACTGCAACTTCGTTAACCAAGATACATCCATGCATCATAATTCATAATTGAATGATTGCATTTGCCTTTAACTGGGAAGATTACTTTTTACCTAAATTAGGCCATCTCTGTGTGTCTGTGTGTCCGTCTTTTCAGCAGTTCAAAGTTTTGGGTCAGTACTTTAACTAAACTATTGAAGGGTTAAAATTAACTCATCATTAATTGTTAAATTGCCAATGAGCAAAGAAATCAGAGCCGTTGAATGATTTTTTTGGCAAAAATAAGCTTGCAGGAATTCTGTGTTTTTTTGTGCCATGGGGGTTACCACCGTTTGAATTCACATGATTGTATTATGTTAGCCATAAGACTAGGGTAGGAAACAAAATATTTTTGACCTGACAGTAATCTTTGAGGTTGACCTTTATGAGAAATAAACACACATACTTGCATGTATGTATGTATAAAGGCACATTTTTTGTATTGAGATTAAAAAGGCGATTTTATGAAAAGCATATAACTCTACGAACCACTTCTTAGTACTGCTTATTGCGAACTGTGTATTCGCAAGCAAATACTGCACAACCACTGTTATAAATATTTAAATGGTGTTGCAATCTATTCTTACCGGTTGTTACAAGCTATTCAACATTATGCAGAGGCAAATTCAGAGGTGGGAAGCACCCCCCGCGACACAGGGATAGCAATTCAGGCCGGCCAAACAAAGCTCAGAAGGTTAGGGCCTGATACATATGAGTCTATCTGCTTCTCGCAGCAGAACTGGACACATATAATTATATTATTATTATTATTATGACATCATCATGTGGGTATGCTTCCCAAAATTTTGTGCTGTTACGAATTCAGAAGCACTCTTACTGCATCTTTGCAACCAAACCTAATCATTGAGCTATGAATGTTTTTGGGATGAGGTTTTTATAAAGCATGGCGAATGTTTGATGGACTTGTGCATTCTTGTCGAAAGGTTTTTTTACCAAGCACTAGCTTATTGGTGTATGTTTAATGTGATTTTTTAATACATCCTCTGAGGGATTATGTTTCTGGTATTCTTAAATTTTGGTATTTTGTATAATATCTGTCTTAAGAGTCTCATATTTGATCACATGATGTGGTAGATGGACATCCACAGCTCTTGATGCAAAAAGAGATTTTCTAATCGGAACATCTGCCTTTCCTGGGTACTTGAATCCTTGTTTTTGGATTGGGTGGGTTGTAGCCTTATAGGTATGGCCGTGTCATTGTAAAAATGGATTGGTGATGTGAAATTCAATAAATGCCTACAACATTAACAAATCATTCATACTTATAAATTACAAAAATGCGCTGTGTACACACCGGGTTACCTGCCCGTGTACACATCTTAAAAAGCCCCCATTCCTCAATGAACTAACCCACCCCCCTCTTTCTAACCCACCTCCCTACTGAACTAACCCACTCTACTTCCCTTCTCCTCCCCTTCCACGTGTGTTTCTTTTTCGGAAAAAACCCGCCAGCCGCCTCTTCCCACTCTCCCATGCGCCCCTTCTCTTTCTCGACTCCACAATAAAACCAGAGAACTCGGAATTCAACTACGCATTACCCACTTGCTTCCTCAATTGAATACCCTTCTCCATCTTGTGCTTCATTTGGCCGTTGAAGTTGACACCTACGAAACCCAAGAACCCAACAACCCTCTCTGTTCTCCGTTCGCAAGTCATGAAACCTCGTCCGGCGCTAAAGTTGATTCGATGAAACCCATCCCAAAACCTATCCGGTCGTCGTCTGCTTCACTCCACTAAACTCGTACGACGGTGACTGAATTTGAAGGGCGAGGTTGAAGTTAATCGCAATCGGGCAGTGCAAGGCTTCAACGGTCATCTAGGGCTAATGAACGGAGGAAATCGTTCGTACTTCATTGACTGAAATGGCACAAAGGTATAGATCTGCAAAACCAACTTCATTATGAGCTCCTAATACTCTCTAGTTCCTAAATTTTGTTTTGTTGTAGTTTTTTGAATTTGTGCGTCCTATGTTTGTGGTGTACCTGAGACGTCTGTGCTTCTGTATTGGTTTTGTGCTTTTTAAGATGTCTGTATAAAGTGTTTTTATATGTTTGTGCATTTTAGAGTTGTCTTTATGGTGTACCTGAGATGTCTGTGTGGTGTTAAGGTGTATGTCTTTCTAATAAAGAAAATGTTTGAGCTTAGGATTTTTGGGTTGTTATTGTGCACTCCAGACTTGTCTATACGACATTTGTTAAGATGTTTGTATTGTGTGTTCTTATATTTTAAGAACTTCAGACTTGTCTGTATGACATTTGTTGAGATGTCTGTATAGTGTGTTCTTATATATTTGTATAGTGTGCTCTTATATGTTTGTGTATTTTAGGGTTGTCTTTATGGTGTACATGAGATGTATGTGTGGTGTTAAGGTGTATGTCTTTCTGATAAAAAATGTTTGAACATAGGATTTTGGGTTGTTATTGTGCACTTTAGACTTGTCTGTATGGCATTTGTTGAGATGTTTGTATCGTGTGTTCTTATATTTTTGTATAGTGTGTTCTTATATGTTTGTGTATTTTAGGGTTGTCTTTATGGTGTACATGAGATGTCTGTGTGGTGTACATGAGTTGTGTGTGTTGTGACCAGTGTGTGTATGAATATTTTCAGGATGGAACTTCAAATTTCCCTGAAACATTACCTTCCAGCGCAATATTCTGTACGCTCAACCTTCAATGATGCATTGGAGCTGCTGAGCGAATGCCTCACACTGAAGCAGATGACATTGCAGGTGAAAACCCCTTGGGCCACCTCATTCATTTGTTGATACTGTGCCTTGTGCGTGACCAACCTGACGATGAATTGTGGTTTGCGGTGGACAGGAAGCGGATGAAGTTCACGTACGCGGACTTCAATAGAATTGTAGGTATCAAAGATCAAGAAGAATGACCAAGTGACCAACATATGATTTTGATGAATCACGGGCTCACGGCTGGGCGTTGTGGACAAGTACTTCGGTGGCTGCGATGATGTGACCTATCAGAATTCAGAAGTTGCAGGCCAAAGTTGGTGAAATAGGAAGTACCCCTCAAGAAGACAATGAAGATCTTATGGACCGTGTGAAGTTGGCTGCTCTATTTTTGGTCCACTCTTGTCTACTTGCCAGAGATCTTGCAACCATAATCCATCCGGATTACCTGCGTTTGGTGGATGAGTATAACTTTTTCGGTCTTGTCCTTGGTCCTTGGAGTCGCACAACATGACCGTGAAGTCTGAAGAAAGCAAGAAAGCAAGGGCAACCACTGAAGTTTCAAGAAAGCAAGCAGACAATCCTAAGTATCGCAATGCCAAGTTCGGCTTATTTGGCTTCCCCTATGTTTCAAAAATTCCACAAAGTCATTTCTTATTTACTGAAAAATTCCATACAGACAATATCAAACAGAAGTACAGACAAAATAACAAAAGAGCAGACATTTACCTCTTCTGATTGCACGTTGTTTTGGTCGTCATCTTCATTTCCTTCCGTCTCTTTCATTTCACCAAGGTCAAGTTTAGTGACTTTCAGCCTCCTTTCAAGATTCGCTACACGTGCACGTAATAACCGTAATTCCTCTTGTGCTGCATCCTCGGCGCTTTCCTCAATGTCATCGTCATCGTCCTCCTCCTACCACATAAATATAATAAATAATTAAAGCTTTGTACCTCGATAATTATAAAACACACAACAAGCCAAACAATTACCTTAACGATATCTTTAAACACAATCTTTTCAAGTACGTGAGCCTGAAATAACCCATCTACAGTCCACCTCAGCATTCCGGAATGTCTTTCGTACCCACCACACGTTTGGCACATTTTTGAGCAAGGACAGGTAGTTCCTCGCACGTCCAAACATACATACATTCATGGGTGTCATACAAACAACTTATGCAGACATCGAATCTCATAAGTTAACATCAAACAGACGATTTATTCATGTATACAGACAATGTAACTATTAAGTAAACATCTATACAGACAATAACATCAATATCTGTAAAGCATAGGGGAAGCCAAATAAGTTGAACTTGGCATTGCGATACTTAGGATTTGTCTGCTTGCTTTCTTGAAACTTCAATGGCTGCCCTTGCATCGTCTTCTTCAGACTCTTCACGGTAACATTGTATGACTCCAAGGATCAGGGACAAGACTGAAAAAGCTCGTAGTCATCCACTAAACGCAGGAAATCCATATGTATTCTGGTTGGCAAATCTCTGGCAAGTAAACAAGAGTAGACCAAAAATAGAGCAGCCAACTTCACACGGTCCATAAGATCTTCATTGTCTTCTTGAGGGGTACTTCCTAGTTTAGTAACTTTGGCCTGCAACTTCTGATAGGTCACATCATCGCAGCCACCGAAGTACTTGTCCACAACGCCCAGCCGTGATTCATCAAGATCATATGTTGGTCATTCTTCTTGATCTTTGATACCTACAATTCTCTTGAAGTCTGCGTACGTGAACTTCATCAGCTTCCCGTCCACCGTAAACCACAACTCATCGTTAGGTTGGTCACGCACAAGGCGCAACATCAACAAATGAATGAGTTGTTCAAAGATTTGTAAGAGTCGGCAATCAAGTAAATGGCCCCAGGGGGTTTTCATCAGCAATGTGAGGCATTCGCTCAGCAGCTCCAATGCATCATTGAAGGTTGAGCGTACAAAATATTGCGGGAAAGTATTGTTCCAGGGGAATTTGAAGTTCCATCCTGAAAATATTCATACACACTGGCCACAACACACACAACTCTTGTACACCACACAAACATCTCATGTACACCATAAAGACAACCCTAAAATACACAAACATATAAGAACACACTATACAAATATATTAGAACACACTATACGGACATCTCAACAAATGTCATACAGACAAGTCTGAAGTTCACAAAAATATAAGAACACACGATACAAACATCTCAACAAATGCCATACAGACAAGTCTGAAGTGCACAATAACAACCCAAAAATCCTAAGCTCAAACATTTTTTATCAGAAAGACATACACCTTAACACCACACAGACATCTCATGTACACTACACCATAAAGACAACCCTAAAATACACAAACATATAAGAACACACTATACAAATATATAAGAACACACTATACAAATATCTCAACAAATATTATACAAACAAGTCTGAAGTTCACAAAAATATTAGAACACACGATACAGACATCTCAATAAATGCCATACAGACAAGTTTGAAGTGCACAATAACAACCCAAAAATCCTAAGCTCAAACATTTTTTTATCAGAAAGACATACACCTTAACACCACACAAATATCTCAGTCTATCAGGTACACCATAAAGACAACTCTAAAATGCACAAACATATAAGAACACACTATACAAACATCTTAAAAAGCATAAAACCGGCAACCAATACAATCCTAATCATGAAGCACAGACATCTGAGGTACACCACAAACATAGGACACACAAATTCAAAAAACTACAACAAAATAAAATTTAAGAACTAGAAAGTATTAGAAGCTCATAATGAAGTTGGTTTTGCCGATTTGTACCTTTGAGCCAGTTCAGTCAATGAAGTGTGCACCATTTTCTTCATTCGTTAGCCATGGAGGACCGTTGAAGCCTTGCACTGCCCGGTTGCGATTAACTTCAACCTCGCCCTTCAAATTCAGTCACCGTTGTACGAGTTTTCGGATGGGTTTTGTTGATTCAACTTTAGCGTCGGACGGGGGTTTCGTGACTTACGAACGGAGAACGGAGAGGGTTGTTGGGTTCTTGGGTTTCGTAGGTGTCAACTTCGACGGGCGAACGGAGAACAAATGGAGAAGGGTATTCGATTGAGGAAGCGAATGGGTAGTGGGTAGTTGAATCCGGAGTTTTCTCTGGTTTTTTGTGGGGTGCCGTGAAAGAGAAGGGGTGCATGGGAGAGTGGGAAGAGGCGGCTGACGGGTTTTTTCGAAAAAG